TGTGTTTCAAAGAGCATTTGTTTCTCTCTCTCTCTCTCTCTCTCTCTCTCTCTCTCTCCCGCTCTCTCTCTCTCCTTCTTTCTCTCCCTCCCCCCCTCTCTCTCTCGAACGATGATGACTTCTTGTTCTTGGCGTTGTTGTTATAATTGCCACCTCTGACATCCCTGGAGTTGATGTTGATACTAATGTTGTTGCTGCTGTTTCTGTTGTCCCTGTTGTTTCCGCTGTGGCAGCTGATGTTGCGACTACCAGGGCTATCCGATAAATGAGGTAAAGACGGTTTGTGTACACGGTGTGCGAAAGGCAAGACACAACACTTATTGTTGCCAAAGTATCAGTTGCACAACACACCATAATAATATGTGTATCTATGAAGTTATATGAAACGTACTAAGCATAACAGAATTTTAAAAGTTTGTACTTCGCGAAAGCTTACGATTTTTATCTGAAAAATGAATGGTGCCCCAAAAATTGTCAATGAACTCGTTGGCGTTGTATGGCCCAAATGTAAAGAGTAAAAAGTGATGCATCATTCAATGGTGGGGTTTCTTAAATGCTGGACGGGATGAATAAATTATGAAGACCAGCCACCTGCAAGGCGCCCGCATATTTCGATCACAAGAAATCATCCACCGAGTTGACGCACTGTAATGTGAGGATAAAAGGCTGAAATGTTGTTTTTTATAGTGTAGGCGTATTTACACCTTTATTAACTCATAGACGACGTGCATTCTGGTAATTCGACAGTGCATGAAGGTGTGCTGTTTGGGGGCATAACTCCGTCTTCCAAACAGGTTTTTAGATTTTGTTTTCTTTTCCCGAAACGTCAAAAGGCATGCAACAATATGCGAACAATAAAAAAAAAGCAAACTCATTTTTCTACTTTGTGTATGGTGGTTCGAAATGTTGCCCGTTGCTCTGCTGCTGATCGGACGTGTGTGTCCTCTTCGTCAGAAAGAGTTAACACAATTTAGATCATTTAGAAGGAAGGCTTATACCTTGCCTCTCAGGGCCAACCTTGGCTAAGAGAGATACAATATCCAAATAGAAAGACCAAGATGCTCGATGAAAATTCTCTCCGCGCTGGACTCGAAGTCGGGTCTCCTGGGTGCAACCCTGGGGCACAATATAAAACCGCTATCTCACAAACGTCGGTTGCTGAATTGGGGGGAAAAAAATTGCTGTGCCTCATGACGGCTCTAGATCTCCTGGACAGAGTGAATAATTAAAATGTCTTTTAGCAGCTAGAGTATAAATCGTAAAGTGTCTGCTCGGTGACCATTGGGGGATCAACAAACCGATCGCTCGACTCGTCGCCTGAAAAAAAAAAACCGCGTTGTTATTGAGGCGACGAATCGGGCGATCGGTTTGTGCCACGATAGCTTCCTTGCGCCCTCAATCTGGCCAGCAAACCGAACCGAATCAAAGCGAACCGATCGAGCAAATGGGCACTGAGTATAAAGCGACAGACAAGAAAAAGACCTGGACGTTTGAGCAAGGGCGTTGTTCTCACACAAGAAAACACTTCTCCCTCCAAGACCAGTCTGACTATAGACGGCCAGGACTGTGAGG